TCTTCAGATAGTTGTTGGCTGCTCAGACATCATCTCTGGTAAATTGTCTATTCATGTCTTGTGCCCATTTTTTTATTGGGTTATTTGCATTTTTCTTGTTAAGGTGTTGTAGTTTTCTATAGATTTCAGAGATTAACCTTTCATCTTATGTATCATTGCTAAATATTTTCCCAATTTGCGGGTCCTCTTTCAATTCTTTTGATGAAGTTGTTTGATATGCACAAATGTTGTACTTTTAGAAGGCTCCAGTCCTTTATTTTGTATTCTATAGTGTGGATATTTCTCATTATGGTTGGTAGTGTGTTTGTGCCTTATATTATTTATGTTTGCCCCTGTTTTTTCTGATTGTTTTTCTGATTGTGTGCTTTATATTTAGGTCTTTGAGTTCATGTTTGTACATGGTATCAGAGACAGGTCCTTCTTCGCTCTCTCACAGGTGAAGATCCAGTCTTTCCAGCACCGTTTATTGAAAAAGCTATCATTCCCCCCACTTCGTGTGTTTTAGTCTTCTTTCAAAAGTTAGGTGTCTGGAGGTTCTTGATTGTACTTCTGAGATCTCAGTTCTAATCTATTTGTCTCCATAGCTGTCGTTGAATCAGTCCCACGCTGTTTTGATTACCGTGACTATATAATAAATAGGTTTTAAAGGCTGACAGTGAAAGGCTTCCTACTTTGTTTTTATATTTTAATAGTGGTTTCTTTATCTCGGGTTTCTTTCCTTTCCATACAAAGTTGGTTGTTGATTTTTCCCATTTCTTTGAAGAATTGTGGTGGGATTTGGATGAGAATTGTGTTGAATTGTAACGTGTTTTTGGTAATATTCACATTTCCACAATGTTCAGTCTATCTATCTAGCAACATGGTAGCTTTTTCCATTTGTGTAAGTTTCTTATGTTTTCTTGAAGGAGTGCTTTGTAGTTTTCCTTGTAGACATCTTTTGTTTCTCCGGTAAGATCTATTCCTAAATATTGTGTCTTTTGTGTAGTTATTGTAAGTAATGTATACTGTTCTTTTAATACCTTTTTTGATATAATCACCTTTAAAATACAATAACCCAACTGATTTCTGTATGTTGATCTTGTAGCCTGCTGTGCTGCCAAATTTTTCAATTAGTTCCAGTCATTTTTTAAATTGAATCTTTGGGGTTTTCTATATTTAAGATTATATCATCAGTGAATAAAGGGCATTTTGTTTCTTCCATGCCTATGTGAATGCCTTTAATATCTTTTTATGTCTTACATCTCTAGTTAAAACCTCCAGAATTATATTATATGGAAGTGGTGATATAAGGCAACACTAGCTGGTTCCCGTTCAAAGTAGGAATGTTTTCCATTTTTCCTCCACTGAGTGCCCATTGGTTTTGAATATATGACCTTTATTATGCTGAAGTATCCCCCTTCTGAGTCTATTTTGTTGAGTGTTTTAACAGAAACTGATATTGAATTTTATACATATCTTTTCTGCATTGACAGATATAACCTATGGTTCTTCTCCTTTATTTTCTTTATGTGGTGAATTACATTGATTGTTCTTCTCATATGAAACCATTCTTACATATGTGGTATGAATTCCACTTCATTTTTGATGTTTTTGTTTTTTCTTTGATGCTTTATTGAATTCTGTTGGCTAGGATTTATTGAAAATCTTGGCATCTATAGTTACTAGAGATAATTGGTCTAGAATTTTCAATTCTGGTGATGTCTTTATCTGGCTTAAAACTCAAAAGGATAGTTGCTTCATAAAATGAGTTTGGCAGAATATTGTCCATTTGTATATTGTAAAACAGCTCATGCAAAATAGCTCATTGGTATTAAGTCTTCTCTAAACGTTTGGTAGAATTTTCCAATGAAACCATCTGGTCCTGGCTATCTTTTATTTGAGGAGGATTTTTTAATGACTAGAGCAATTTCTTCTCTCGTTGAAATTTTTCTACATCAGTCTGTGGTAATGTAGGTAAATAGTGCATTTCTAGAAATTTGTCCATATCTTCTAGATTTCTGAATTTGTTGGAAAACAATTTTTCGTAATACTGTGTGACTTTTTATCTCATTTGGCTCTATTTAACCCCATCCATTGCATTCCTTATTCATAGAATTTACTTTTTCCCATTCTTTTCTTTTGTTAGGTTTGCCACCGGTTTATTACTTCTTGTCTTGTTGATTTTTTTCCCACCGATGTTTTAGTTTCTGATTTAACCATTTCTACTCTATTCTTTAGTATGTCTTTGCTTCTAGTATCTGAGGGTTTGTTTGGCTGATCTTTTCCCAATCGTTGTAGTTGATGTTTCAGGCTGTTTATTTTCATTCTTTCTGCCTTTTTGATGTGTGTACTTACTGCCATCAACTGCCCTCGGAGTACTGCTTTTGCAGTGTCCCGAAGATTTTTATGTATATTTTTAACGTAGCATAAAACTCACTCTATTCAATGAGCTTGTCTTAAAACTGAAACTCCGAGCGATTGGAGTCTGCACCAAGACATTGGGAATGAGATGAAAAGGTAACCCTGGAAATGAACTGACCCGTGTGGCTCAGTGCTCAGCCAGACAGGAGACAGGTCTATCGGGGAACAGAAACATGAGTGAGGAGAACACAACCATATACAACCAGCCGTTTGGCATCCAGAGTGCAGCACCGACCTACCCAGGACAAAGTTCAGAGGGGTTACAAAAGGAGGGGAAGTGGACATGGGAGCGACAGGGAGGAAGGGAAATAAGTGAAGTTACATTGAGGGGATGGCAATGTATCAAATGAAGCAAAAGGTGTATGAATTGGTGAATGGAAAATAAAAAGTAAACTTTTTAAAAAACAGATCTATACAGAGGAGGTACACTGGTACAGATAGGAACTGAAAATACAGGGAATCCAGGACGGATGAGCCCTATAGGACCAGTGGTGTGAGTGGCAAAACAGGGAGGGTAAAGGGAGAATGGGTAGGAAAGAGGGAACCGATTACATGGAACTGTGTGTGACCTCCTCCCTGGGGGACAGACAACCGAAAAGTGGATGAAGGGAGACGTCGGACAGGGCAAGATATGACACAATACCCATTTATAAACTATCAAGGGCTCATGAGGGAGGGGGGAGGGGGGAGGAAGGGGAAAAATGAGGACCTAATGTCGGGGGGTTTAAGTGGAGAGAAATGTTTTGAGAAACGATGTACAAATGCGCTTTACACAATTGATGTGTGTATGGATTGGGATAACAGTTGTATGAGCCCCTAAAAAAATGTTAAAAATAAAATAAAATAAAAAATAAAAAACAGATCTACTCCGTCAAATGGGATTGCTATGAGTTGAAAATAGACTTGTCAGGACACGACAATAACCAAGACAGGAGTGATAGATTCAATGTAGTGCATATATTGGACACCAACTGTAGCTGGGGGAGATATGATAATCAATGGGAGTTAGGCTTTGCTCTGAAAGAGCTTGCTGCCTGAAAGAAACCAAGCACTCATCTACATTATTTTAATATAATACGGCCATCTGCTTGGAGGACACAGTTTAGTGTTCCAAGAAACTTGAGGACCAAGAAGGGGAATACAATGGAAGTTCAATAGGGGGCAAAGGAGAGCTTTGGTTTGGTTTTTAAGATCATGTCCATTAGACTGACTGCTGGGTTCAGTGGTAAGGAGGTCAGTGGAGCTTAAAAGCAAAAGCAGATGAAAGAAGCATTATGAGAGTAATGCTTATACTCTCTTATGCTCTAGCTTTGGAAAAGAAATAGGCCTGAGAGCATTGATTTAATGTATTTTGTGTATGATTAGTATTGCTCAATAGGCAAGTCGCTATGCCATCCTTTCATACCCTCTGTTCTTCATTTGTGGAGAACATAATCTTCAAGTTCAGGCTAACCCAATGCCACTGAGACTCCATCGTGACCTGCTTCTTTCCACTCCTGCGTTAGTGACTGTTGATGCTCCACCCTGCTGTCTGCTGCCTGCAGGCTGGCTCTGTTTGTCTTGTCTGAGGACAGATTGTACTGTCTGCTTCCTTGACCTTGGGCCAGCAGCCCGTGTGAGTGGAAGGCCCTTCAGTATATTAACTGTTCCATGAAAGTGAGTTGAACTGAGCTCTGTACTGCTGTGTGACATAATTAGCTGTTATATTCCTTATTGCTATAAAAACCTATATATGTATATATATCATCATCATCATCAATGTCCTGGTTTTGTTTCTCTAGAGAGCCCTGCTTAACACATCCAGCTTTCTCATGCATATGAGGTGAATGAAAACACCGTAATTTGGTTCAGGTGCAGGCTCAGCCTCAAAGTGACATTTGCTTTTTAACATTTTAAGCAGCTCTTCCACAGCAGAGTTGTCCAATGCACTATGTCATTTCTTGTCTGCTGCTTCTCTGGGTACTGGTTGTGGATTCAAATAGAAGGAGAGCCTTGAGAATTTCAATGTTTACTCCATTTAGCCAGTTTAATCAAGTGGTAGTTAAGATCTATTTATATTGATGACAACAACAACAGGAAAGGCTAACCAGAAACACAGAGGAAAATGAGTTCATAGTAATGGGAACAGAACCAGCTGGGAAAGGTGGGTGAGAATAATTGCACAACTCAAATTATATAATCAATATCATCACATTGTACATGTTGAAATCATTGAATTTGTGTATGATTTTCTGTGTGTATTCTTAATAACAACAACAAAAATAAAATAAATTCTATATCTCCAAAATCTATTTTGAAAAGAATCCCTAATCTATGGGTGGAGTGGGATAAGCTTTAAGCATGCACTAGAGTTTTTGATATAATAGAGAGATGATGGACCAAATCCAATTATGCAACAGTAGAATAAAGGCTAGGTTAATTATGACATCCATATAACTATGTAATATGCACACATTACATATTACTATCACAAAGAGCTGTCAGAAATGTGCGTGCCAATAGAGGAAAACTGGTAATCTGTATATTTATCATGGTCAAATTTGGGTCCTTAAATGTTTGCCTATTTTAAAAGTTAAAAGAAAAAAATGAACTATTCAAAATGGCATATTCAGATCTAATTTTAAAAGGGAAATACATAGAGAAACCAAGAGGACCTGTTGAGTCAGTAACCAGACTGATGGTTCCTTGGGGCCATGGCAGGGGAGGTTGGGGGAGGTGGGGAGCTAACAACGATGAGTGCAAGAATGAAGAAAATGCTCTAAAATTGATGTGACCATGACTGTACAACTCATCTTCAAGTGACTGAACTATTGAATGGTAGGATATGTAAATTATATGCCAATGAAACTGTGGCTAAAAAGGAAATGGATCTAAATGTGAGGAATGCTAATCTCTGGATAAGACAATGGGCTACTCAACTTGGTTTTGCCCCTCATTTCCACAATTAAAATCGTGCTTCAGCTTGCCCTCAGTGGTGTGTTCCAGTTTAATTGGCAGCATTACGCTGTCTTGGTGGTGACGAAAAATAATGCTGCAGTGTACAAGGACGGGCTCTTCCTGCAGTGGAAGGCATCACACAGCATCAGGTCTGTTGCGTGCTGGCTGTGTGACTTGGGGCCAGTCACTGAACCTCTGCGCCTCAGTTTTCCCGCCAGTAAAGCAAGCGTGAGATCGTCCCCTCCCTTTGGACTTGTTTGAGGATTAAGTGAGTTGATATATGCAATAAACTCAAACCAGCAACACTCTAGGTAGAAGTGCTCCTGAGAGCTTCACAGACTCGAAACGCTCACAGGGGCACGTGACCTTGTGCTTCCTTCATGAGGACCACACAAGGTAGACATGAAAAGTCACCACTCACCATTTTGTCTTCAAATCCTGCCATTATGCCAAGACAAAAGTCCTCCCCATATCTAAGGACTTGGCCGTTGGCATTTCTGTCCATGCTGTAAGTAGAGAACGAATAGAATTACAGGCAAGCGGTTACAATCATGGTACACCTCTCCTTTTTGCACCTGCAATTCTATGTACAATCACTTGCGTTGCTTCTGTATATTGACATCCCATAATGGCACTAAATGTCTGATTAAAATTTGCTGCCACCCACCATAACCCGAGTACAGAATAGCCCCACTTGATGAGCTTCTGGCCAGTGGACTAAGCTACCCAACACAAAGGAATTCTGGGCAAGTGTATTTGGCATTGACAGGAAAAACAAAAGCGGCCCTGTCAACACAGAACATTAAATGCTCAGCCGCTTACCAAAAGGTTGACACTCCAAACTCACCAGCCACTCACTCCACAAGAGAAAACGACCTGGAGGTATACTCCCATAAAGATTACAGCCTAGAACACTCCATGAGGGCAGGGGGGTTGGGGGGGGGCAGCTCTGTTCTAACATTGGGTCACTATGCTGGTGTAGAATATTGAAAGTCCCATGGACTGTCAAAAGAACCAACAAATCTGTCTTGGAAGAAGTATGGCCCAAATGCTCCTTAGAGACAAGGATATGGAGTGTTGGCCCATGAACTTTGTCAGGAGGGATCAGTCCCGAGAAGGACACCAAGCTTGGTAAAGGGCAGGGGCAATAAAACAGAGGAAGACCTTTGACCTGATGGGCTGACATGGTAGCTGCATCCACGGGCTCAAACCTAAGAAGAGCTGTGAGGCTGACACAGTACAGGGGAGTGCTTTGTGCTGTGGTACCTTGAGGGGCTATGAGTTGGAAGTCACTCAATGGCACCTAACAGCAACAACAACGTGATTTGGAATCAACCCAATAGCACCCACCACTAACAACAGCAGAGAAAACCAAAGTTACAAACGTTTAATACAACCTTCTCTTTTAGTTACCCAGGCAACAGGCTGTGATCAATGTTTCCTTTGTCTTAGGATAAATTTCCGGTACTCAAAAGAAATTGAAATTGAAGAAGCTTCTTCAAGACTTAAAGGACTTGGTTATACATGCATTGTAATAAAGATACTGCTATCATAAACTTTCAAGTCCTGGTGGCGTAGTGGTTGCATGCTGGGCTGCTAACTGCAAGTTAAGCAGTTCAAAACCATCAGCTGCTCAGAGGGAGAAAGATGTAACTTTCTACTCTTGCGAAGAGTTACAGTCTAGGACACGCACAGGGACCATTTCACCCTGACCTATAGGGTCGCTATGAATAAGATTTGACTCCTTGGCAGTAAATTTGGTTTGGTTGTCATAAACAGATACACTAGGTAACAAACAGAAAGTACTCCTTTCCCATAGTATAGTAGTTAGGTATCTGTTTGCCCTCCAAGGACTTGATTTTCAATGGGCAATTCATTTCATTTTAAAGGACTATATCCTTGCATTCAAATAGATACTTTTGCTGTGAAAAATAACTCCTTTTCTTCTTACTTTCACGTCTAATCCAATTCACAGTGACCCTATTGGGCAGAGTAGAACTGCCATTGTGGGTTTCTGAGACTGTAAATCTTTACTGGAACAGAAAGCCTCATGTTTGTCCCTTGGAGCAGCTAGTGGTTACGAACTGGTAACCTTGAAGTGAGAAGCCTAACTAGTAACCCACTATGTCACCAGAGCTCATTAAAAGCCATGAAACCAGTCAAATGAGCTTAGAAAACACTGAGATGTTAGTAATACAGCCTATATTACTTCCAGACTATATATATA